TCATCTGGCACCCTGAGATCGCAAAGCAACGCTTTTCAGTGTCCAGCCCTGCATGCTGCAATCCACCTGGCCTGAGAGCACCCTTTGGTATTCCAACCCCCGTTTTTCGTGAAGCCCTTGAGCGAGAAGCAAAGTTGATGCAAGTGCAGCATGGCTGCGTCAAACGCATCTCTGCGCCTGGGTTGCCTTCTAGTCCCCTGTTTCTGGGAAAAGACAATATCGGCACTTTGTGTGAAGGTCATGCACATCATGCGCACACAAACACAGGCACAAATAAGAACACAAGCACACACACACACACAAACAAAACCAAAACAGACACACACGAACACAAATAACACAACACACCACACCACACCACACCACACCACAGCACAGCACAGCACAGCACAGCACAGCACAGCACAGCACAGCACAGCACACACACACACACCACACCACACACACACACACATGCGCGGCGCGCCTGCAGGATCGAATGCAACCGCCGTGAAAGCAAGCATGGGCTGTCCAAATCAACTTTGCGAAACAGATAGGGCAGCCTGCATCTCCTGGACTGTTGCAAACGCAACTCCTACTCTTCCTCTTGTGAACATCAACGATGAAAGAACCCGTTCCAACACGGATTGAGCCCGAGGTACATGCACACCAACACACCAACACACAAGCACACAGTGTGTGTATCCAGGGCGCATACAGTGCCGTCACCAGGCCGTAGAGGCAAAACCCATTGAGCTGCACCAGCAACTCGTCACGCGAGCTGGCGTTCAGGCCAGTGATGAGGCCTCGCGCATTACACGGGACGCACCCACAATACGCGTAATACTAGCCGCTAATATTCGCCTTCACGAGTCTGGCCAGAACTGCAGAAAGAATCCAACAAATTTCACAGTCACAAGGTCTCGGCTGATCACACCCTGGCTGGCATACAAGCAAATGGTCCACAATGATCTTGTTCTGTGCACTCGCTCTCAAAGAGATGCTGCTGCACCAGCTCATGCTTGGCAGGTCGTGCTGCTCAGCTGCAAGGCATCAGAATTTGGTAGCAAGACCCGAGGGAACGCCAAGCATTCCCCATGCAATCATGATAATCGAAACTAAACCTGATTCTCACAACACAATCCACTCAACACTTTGACATGTCACAAATAAGCAAGCAACACAGAGTTGTCATGGGATGGTTACTTGCTCATCTCAATAACATGTTGGCACGATGGACTGCCTGTTTTCTGCCATGAACCACATAGTTTGCGGCCAGTGACATTTTAATGGCGAGGGTCCCCTCAGAACGGTTGTTCTCACGTTGGCCCCCGTTGAAACATCACACCCTGTCATGATGAAAGGGTTCCCAGTTCGGACACCCAGTCGCATAGCCACTGAAAGACGGGGCATTCCCTCTAAGGGCAGGGCTGACATCCCCGTGCGGCAGCAATCGGTCAAAGGCAGGGTAGGCATCCTGCCAGATCTCCACCCACCTGAGACCATCAAGTGCGCCCTGTGGATGCCGACGGGGTGTCTCATCGGTTGGTTGAAACCATTCAAAGATCAAGGTGACCCTTGTAAACTGAACCTTCGCAGCTGGGGGCTGAGCCGGGGTCAGGAAAGTCAAACAAAGACCCGCTTTTTGGATTCCATTCGGGAACTTTGACTAAAAGGGCTAGTTTGCACCCAGAATGGTTTATCCCTTCCCCAAAAAGACGGTGTTCCTGCTGACCTCCGTTGCAGTTCTTGGAAACATACTACGTAGTTTCATTCCGCCCCACCAGACCTCTGATGTGGTCCGTGAGCTGGTAGGGAACTGGACTGTAATCCACATGTGAACATACTTCAATCATATTCCCTGAAGAACGTGAACGTACATCTACCTCAGCTTTTGCCAACCAACGGAAAGCATCATTAATTCTGATCTATATTCAGCAAACCTTAACATAAAAAGCTCCCAGACATACTGACCCACACCCAGGCTGCCAACATGTTTGCCCCAAGGCTTCCAAGGTGCCGGTTCACCATCCCCTGGCTCCGAAGCTGCAGCTCCTTCCCAGAAGCAGCCAGCAGCTTGGCCCAGCTGCTGTCGAAGTGGCCTCAAAACGCTTCTCCGTCAGACAGTTCCGCTTGCGCGCGTGACATACTTAGATCTCGTCTCCCCACAAGGGGAGGACGGGCATGCTCTGTGTTTGGCACTGATCATCTCTGAACCATCTGCAAACAGAAAGAGAGGTATAAGTGCCACAGTCAAAACTTTCGTTGTGAGGCCATGAGGATGCTTATCATTGTCTAAACTCCCTAGTCACCATCCATTCCCTACTTTTTTTGACCACACTGTGGATGGACGAAATCCCGCACCACTTTGAAACCTTGGGAAACCATTGCTTGTTGGCATTTACAGGAGGAATCGAATCCTTCCAGGGGCTTTTTAGGTGGTGCGAAACGGATTTGCGTCACCATCCACTGCACAGCGAGAATGCTCAGTGGTAACTGGGTGCTCAAAAGTAAACTGGGGCAAACTGCAGGTAGGCCACCTTTCCATTTGCCAGTAGGTTGGAGATCTGTGAGCCACAACTTGGTGTGCGAAGCTTCGGGCGGCCAGGGCGCTGCCATTGCAGGAGAAGGCTTCTGGCACAACGCCTGAAGACGGAGCACCCCACACCCCGTGAAAAATGACTCAAAAAGACCAAAGCTGGAGATGTGTTTGGGTGAAAGGGCTGGGCAGTTGATCGATGTTGGCGCAAAGGAAAAGCTGGGACCTGGATGCTGCTCTGGCAAGTTGCCAAACCGCGCATCTCAAGTCATTGAAGATCTGAGGCCAGTAAGTTATAAAGTTGATGGACTTCAGCCAAGAAAGCAGGGTTGATCCAAAGACATACTGCGAGCACAAGTTAAGCCTGACCACTTACAGTAACCATTCGAATCTCGACAAACTTAGCGCGAACCGCCCAAACGAAACAAGGCACTGGCGAACAACTGCACCGCACGTTTTAGGCTTACCCTCTCTTCCGCCTTCCGCGCTGCAGCCTTCGCCTGGCCACTCACGGCAGAGTAAAGCAGAGTGCCAAAAGCAAAGGCAGTGTAGTCATTTTTGGATGAGCACAAATGTAATGAACTTGGCTCAAGCAGCTCGTGTCCTGTGTTGGTTCTCAAAGATCGTCTTTCCCCGCGGAAAACTTTAGTATATACCTCCACAGTGCTGAGACTCGACACATCGACACGTCCTTCCCGTCAGAGGAAGCAATCGGGGTCCTGGAGTCTCCCAGGGTTGGACCAATCCCTGGTTAAAACATGATGAAACCATTGTTTAGACAGCCTCCTTTTGGCGTCCTTCTATTCCAAAGGGAAGCAGAGGTTGGTGGGTTCATCAACCATGGTATCTGCCTTCAGAGCTTTGTGCAGTCCATGCGAGCCCCAGCAGTCGCCAAGCCATCGCCATCTCGCTACCTCAGGCGGTTTGGGTGCCGAGCCTTAGGAGCGAAAGCCAACCTCAGAAGGTGGGTCAGAATCAAACCCGGGATCCAAATGGTCTACCCAGAACCACGTAAAGAACTAAGGCGGAATTCCGCAGCTCTTTCTGGTTGGGATCGTCCCTCACTAACCTTCTGCCCGGGTTTTGATTGTAGCTCAGCCCTGCATTCCCATGGGCCAAACTGATCCCCCCTCAAAAGGCGGACCTTCTGTTGGCAAGGAAAAGAGAATGAACCTCAGGTAAAAGGTGAGCTCAGTTTGGCAGAGTTATCTGGCTAATCTGGGGTAGAGCCAGAAAACTTTGAATTGAGCAGGAACATGTATGTACCGCATGATACATACAGGTGTTCCGTTGGCATCAATGCTTGCGTTCAGAATGTAATCTTAGCTCTTAGCTGACGGGATTTGTGCTAACCGGTTCCTGAGCTTTTGCTCCCAGCCAAACACCTGATGAGTCTGGTCCATGTTTCGACCCTAAATTCACAGATGCCAACTGAGAGCCATTTGTGAGATCCCGGGTGCATGCCCGCAACTCTCCATTGAACACGTTTCGGGCAAGGGGCGGCCATGTTATGGCAACGTTCGAGAAGCGCAGCGCGCGCTTCCAGAAGCTGATGCCGATGAGCCGTGGCTGCTGTTTACCGTCGTTGCTGCAACGTGCTAGACCGTGATTCGCTCCACCTTTGGTACCTTTGGATGCTTTTGGCCCAAAGTCGCGTGCCAAGCCTGCCAAGCAATTGCAGACTTGCCACAACCAATATCAACCTTCAGCTTCTGGGGCAAGATCCCGTGGACACATCAGCTCAGGTTTGACCAAAGGACATAACTGAGCCCCTGTCAAATCACCAAGCCTTCAATTCAGAGTTGAAAGCGAGTGGAGCGCAGCGCTGGCAATCTTTGACGCACGCAACAGGTTGACGCCCTCAGCTAAGAGCAGCTGTTAGTAGCATCTTCCTGCAGATGTTTATACAGGCATCCAAGACAGCGTCCAGCAATCTCTGGAACCCTGTCTCTGCAGCTTGGCCTACAAAGCTTCGACAGGGATTGGTGCATTTGGGAAAGCTGCCCGCAAAATGCCACAGAGACGGGTTGCTGTGCGCAGAAGTGAGAAGACTGCGGCCCAATTTGGGCTGAAGCAAGCTGCTGTCTCAAATCTGAGTCTTAAGCCATACGCACCCAAGAAAGCCCATTGACACCTCCGGAGACACTTGTCGCAGCATCTAATCTTCAGCCATGGCCCTGGTCCGTCGAATGGGAGGCCCTTTCGCATGGCCAGATCATAGCCATCACCTGATCAAAAGTGGCGCCGAAGAACCCTGGTTCCCGGCCGAAAGCAGAAGGTCTTGTGTCACACATCCCGGCGCCCTCACCTCTAAGAAATTTGTGGTCAGGGAAAGGTGCATTAATGCACCCATACTGACGCTGATGGCAATTACATTGAAGCAGCACTTCGACAGAATGAGCAGCTGACTGAACATCAGCGCAGGAATGGTGAGCATGCAAACAAACATGTGTCACTGGGAGTGACCCGTTTAGCTTTCAACAAAACTAATCAAATCCGTGTTTTCTCCCCGGAAGGATGTTGAAGCCCGCCTTGGCCTAGGCTTGGGTCACGTCAAAGGCACCAGCGCCCAAGTTGTCGGTGTAAACGCGGAAGGTCACCGCAGTGCCTTCTGCAAGCTTGAAGCCTGCGCTTGGGGCACGCCAAGGAAACGTAAGATATAGGGCGCACGTTCTCGAGCGAATGAGATGACTTGGTGGTTCGTTGTTCCCTTGCCAAGAGTTATACTTGTAGTGGGCTATGTCATAATTCCCTCCAAGCTCTAAAGTTCCAGTATGGGAACCACCAAGTGCAGGGGCTGTGAAGATGAAGGTCGCCATCCAGCACGTGTCCAAGTACTGTTTCGTCACATGCCGTTTTTCAGTCCTTGAGAAGGCCCAGAATGATATTGAACGACGAACAGGTGTGCAGCCCTCTCGGCGGGGATCCCTGGTCCATGGACAGCATGTGCTCAAAGAGCACAGAATTTGACATGACGACACGATCGCATCTAAGGAGTATGATAGCAACGCCTTTTCCTCCATCAAGTGCAAGAGTCAACAACATCTGCCCATGGCGCATCTTTGGACAAATAGCACGCATCGCATCAACAAGCACGCCTTTTGAGGCTGATTGCGTTCTTGCCGCTAAGAAACTAAATGAGTCTTGCACCATCGCAATTGCAGGTGCATAAGGATTGCCGGCGACCAAAGCTTCCCCGTTCTTCCCGCGCTCAGCCCCAGGCCATCTTCATGGTTGACATCAGGCTTTCTAAAGTAGAGGAGGCCTTTCTCGGCAACCTGGGCGGAACACAGCTCGACCCGGCCATCACATCCTTCCCGAGTGATTCCTCTGGACACTGAGGCTCATGATTTGGGAGCTGATGCGGCCTTAGGTGAGGCCAAAAATACGGTCCGATCCGAAACATCGCTGCACATTCAAACATGTGTTTGTTTTTGTATTGCGAACTCATTGGTGGACATGATTCACATGGGGAAAGCGACCACTTACCATTCTGAAGGGTGGTTCCTATTCAACATCACAGCTACATGGACATATTCAATCGAGTCCTTGGATAAACTCCACAAAACTTCTGGGATGAGCCTGCTGAGTCTTCCTTGGGGTATTCAAATGGTTCCCGTCTTGGCACAACTTCTGCAGGCGGCGCATACCCAAAATGATGTGCCCCAAAGCAAATCTGAGTGGATGGTTTTAGTTGTTGACACACATTGGAGGGTCCAGTTGGCAACACCCAGTTCGAGTCATAGCCACAAGCCAACATCAAAGAATCCCGAAACCAAGCCAATCAAGCGATCTCCTCCCAAGCATGGGCAGGAATAGTTTCCCAGCTTTAGTGTTGCACCATGGAAATCGCCTCCTTCCAACCAACAATTATCCTACAGGCTTGTTCGATGTAAGCTTAGCTCGTTTTTCTTACGCTTCGCCGCTTCGCCTCCTTGCCATTGTCCACTGCTACCGACTCCGACTCTGAAAGCTTCTTCTTGACCACCGCAGGCAGGCCTCCACAACGAGCACAGGTTCGCTCTCTATGCGGTCAAGCAGTTAAGAATATCCCAGTGGCCCTTTGTTTTCAGGGGCAAGGAAATTCAAGGCCATTGAGGAGTGATTACTAGGCTGGAAAAAAACAATTCGTAGGAACATTGGGAATCTGCTTATTTGCGTCAGAATCGCGCCGCCCCTTGTCGGAACATCTTAAAGACGTAAAAGGAAGGCAGAAAGAAATTGAGAAGTCCCAACCATTTCTGGTGCACGCAAGTTCAAAGTGTGCGGTTTTCCTGAGAGTCTCCAGGATTTGCATGTTTAGCCTCGCAGAACACCTGTTTCTGAGGGTTCCTATGGATGAAGCTCCTTTCGCCAAAGTGCCCCACAACCTAATCGCATACGAAGGATCGGCACGGCACAGTTCCCTTCGCCTGCCAGATTGTCAGGCCTGATGAAGCCCCAGCCTTGGGAAGGGAGCTGCAAACTGAGTCTCTCCGTTTTCGGATGGAAACCCCCACTAAACCCTAAAAAGCTAAAAAGCTAAGGGGATGGGAGCCACCATGTTTAGTGGCGGTTCATCCAACATGATCCACATGTTCATCCACTGATAGTGGGTGGGGGCAGGGCCCGAGCTCAACGCATTGCAGTTTGGCAGGGCTGATTGTATTTCCCAAGAACTGCACCAGTCGACGGCACCTTTGGAACGGTGGAGAAACTGCAATGGTTGAGCCTTCCAAAAGGGAATCATGAGGACCCCTGATTCAAACGCGTACTAGACTGGCCCTTAAACACAGGCTGGAGTTGGTTCGAGCTGGGAAGCAACACAAGCAAGGAGAAGCAGCCAATGCTGCCGGCCCATGAACGTCTGAGGTAGGTAACATGCCTGCACGGCGGTTGGATGAGCTGATGGCTGCACATAAGTATTCAACATTATTCAGCCATGCTCGGTTCCCTGAGACGTGCTGGCTGCAGCAAACTGAATTTGTTGCTCGAAACCTGTCCTGCAAGAACGCTGCGAGTCATGGCTGGAAAGAAGACATGAGAGGACACGCCCCCATGCGTGCAACCGAGAAAGCGGGCACCGGAAGGGAACTGGTGTAGGCATTAGGCCTTGGGATCTGCCGGCCATTGACTCTTTGACTCACGGCCTTCCGCCCGTGCTTCGCCAGCCCACGGATAACTTTCCTGCATCCACTTCTAATCAATAATTTCCAGACTGGAAAAAGGAAAACTACAGGACCGTGACCGTGGGTGCGCTCGCTTTATCCCATCCCAGTCTAGTTCGTTCTGTTTTTTTTTCCAGAATATTCCCATCCTGTGTCATGCTTCATTTTGTCGGGACTCCTCGATTGATAACGTAGCGCTGGATCTCCCCGGGGTATGCCGTGTCTCCTTGCTCTATTCGGCCTTCTTCTTCCACCTGGCAAAGGGTTGGGCGATTTGAGGCCCGCAATTGCCACTATTGTTTACGCAACCTTCTTGGGAGTCTAACTGGGGGCCACTGTCTACTTTAGAAAAAAAAACTCCGTCTAGGCCAATAAGTTCGCGCGTTTCATCGTCGCAGCACCATCGGTCCATTCAGTTTTGGTTCTAGTACTGGCAGCAAAGTCTGTGTACTACAACCTCATAGAATAGCGCTTGTACTTATTTATCTGCCGGATGCACTCGCCAACAGCGGGGGGGCTTGGGAAGGTTGGTGCTGCATTCAATCCATGAACGAGCTGCTCACAGGTGCACAAACATGTGAAGCAATCGACGCCTTCTTCTCCCAGAACTTGCTGGTCAAGGGAGCAGCTCTCCTTGGACAATCCAAATCCAATGCCCACATGGCATTAAATCGCCCCACAACAAGCGGCCCCAAGAACCCACCACAAGGCCCCACCCCAAAGGGCCCTCCCTAGTTCCAAGATGGCCCAAAATGGTCCGAAGCAACGCGTGTCATGCGCGGCTTGCCAAAGTGAAACCACGTTCGCTTGACCAGGCATGATCCTGACAACATGGATCGAAGGGCAAGGGGGTCGAATTAATTTGGCTGCAGCACTGGCCATGCCTATATCTTCACAAAGCAACATGGGCAGCTGTCAATCACTGGTGCTCTGCTATCTTGCACCCGTAAGTCCCCCGTTCCAGGCAGCTATGCTCCTGAACTTCTAAGAGCCCCATGCCCGGCACATGACCCAACTGTAGCAAACCCTCGTTCAAATACGGGTGTCAATGTTGTCAACACGAGAAGCTTCATCGATTGCGTCTTGCCAATCTCGCCTCATCATGCCTCATCAACGTTGATTCATGCTTCAGAAAGTCTTTGCCTGGGTCTTGGCAGTATTAGCCTCACATCCCGTCAGAGTCTCCATGAGTCACAAGCAAGATTAGTCAAAGACTGGACGCTGCGAAAAATCAAAAAAAAAACGTGCGCAACGAAAGCGTGCTAGCAACCAGCCAGGGTTGGAAGAGCATGTTTGAATGAGTTTCAACCCCGCGAGAGCCAACACCGCGGAACATAAACAACTGAAGTGAGTGACGTGAGGCAATGCTCGCCCTGCAGCTAAGGCTCTTCCCCTTGCCTTTGGCCTTGCCCCCCTTGGAGCCCTTGGAGCCCTTGGAGCCTCCCTTTGCACCTTTGCCTTTGCTCCACTGGGGCTTTCGAGGCTCCTCCTCCACCCACACCCACGAACCGCTCTTGCCGCCCTTGCCGCTGCCACCTTTCTCCTTTCCCTTGCCTCCCTGGCTTCCCTTGCCTCCTCGTCTGAGTTCGCCTCGCAACTCAGCGGAGAACCCCCCGCTCCCGTCCCCGAGTTGATTTCGCAATCGACGATTGCCCAAGGATTTAGTTGATCAAAGACTTCGAAACGCGCCTCCCCAGCTTGCCAACTTGTCCTTCAAGGTGGCAGTCTTATTCACCTGCCAGGGTTCCGGTCACCGTCCCAAACTGTGTCTAGGCTTGACGCCGAGCCCCACATGCGAACAAAATACATTCGCTCAACTTGGTTGTTTCGCCAGGTTGGTTATTTGGTCGAAACGAGACTTAGATGTGTGTGTCATGGCTTTACTTTGCCGGCCATTCAAAGTCCCATGGGCCGTTTGCTGGCTAAGGCATGCACAGGGGCTCCAGGTGTGCTCGCAACTGCGGGATGGACCTGGCTGTCGATCAGGCAAAGCTCAGTGAGGAACGCAGGCGGCGGATCTGCAATGATCAGCAATTCTTTCGGCGAGGAATTTGGCTGGCAGGCCAGAAAGTTTTCGGCGAGAAATTCAACGGGCAGGCTCAATAATTTTCCGCGAGTTCCTCCGCGAGGGGCTCTCCCAAAAGTCAGGATCTCGGCGAGCAATCTCGGCGAGTTGCGCTGAGCGGCTTGGCCGGCTGCGAAGCACGAAAATCTCTCTCAAGGCCCAGTTCCACCAAGCCCTGCTTTCGGAGAGGCCCTCGCAGAGGGGCTCTCCTTGAGAGGGGGGTCTGGCCGACTTTTGGGAGAGGCGACTGCATCGCGCCCCAAGTTTCTCTCCCAATAGTCGGCCAGACCCCCCTCTCAAGAAGAGCCCCTCTGCGAGGGCCTCTCCGAAAGCAGGGCTTGGTGGAACTGGGCCTTAAGGAGAGATTTTCGTGCTTCGCAGCCAGCCAAGCCGCTCAGCGCAACTCGCCGAGATTGCTCGCCGAGATCCTGACTTTTGGGAGAGCCCCTCGCGGAGGAACTCGCCGAAAATTATTGAGCCTGCCCGTTGAATTTCTCGCCGAAAGCTTTCTGGCCTGCCAGCCAAATTCCTCATTGCAGATCCGCCGCCTGCGTTCCTCACTGAGCTTTGCCTGATCGACAGCCAGGTCCATCCCGCAGTCTGGAGCCCCTGTGCATGCCTTAGCCAGCAACGCAATCAAGAACTCTCATCCTGCGAAAACGGCCCATGGGACTTTGAATGGCCGGCAAAGTAAAGCCATGACATACACAGCTAAGTCTCGTTTCGACCAAACAACCAACCTGGCGAAACAACCAAGTTGAGCGAAAGTTTTTTGAACTCATCTACTTGCCAGGACAACACGTGCGGTATGCAGGCGCAAACACCCTCGCACACGCTGACCTTCTGCGCTCACATAGCAAGAACGCATCCACTGCCGCGCTTGGAGTCACCCTTGAATAGGGCCTGGATTGTTCCTTTCCCGCGGCCGCCTTTGCCCATATCTGCCTTGGCTGAATTTGGCAATCAGGAGCATTTGGCTTGCTCCCGAAGCATTACGTTGTAACTCGAACTGAGCACGGCACGTAAACCACAAACAAATGACACTTAGCACAACTTCATACGAAGACACACACACACGCACACGGGGTCTCTAGTATGGGCCCCTTTCTTTGTTGAGCACAGGTAGGCCTGTGGAAATGTCATTTCTATCTGCCCTTTGCAACATCTCCCGTCGATCCAAAATCCTTAAACTGCAAGAAATGATGATGTTGAAACCACCAACAAAAAACAAGTAAGGATCCCTGCAGTTTGTTTGCTTTGTTTTCGCGTTGCATCCAAGGCGCTGGTGGCGCTTCTGAGGCGCTCTTGCTGAGGGTCAGTGTCGAAACTGGAGCCAAAGGTCGCAAAGCCGCGCACCTCACTTATGGAGAACAGGAAGCTAATTGAGCTTTGGGAGCTGCTACAAAATGCTGAGATTTGTGTTGGCAAGCATTCCAAATTGTTGCAGGAGTGCCCCTTTACGCTTAAAAAATGCCGTGGCTCTGCTCTCAAGGATCACACGAGGTTGCTAACCATACTCCACGAGAACAATGGGCAAACCGCAAGGGATTACACCGTGTCATTGGCTGTCAGCATCAAGTGGTGGAAGCCTTTTCCTCACACGTGCTTTTTGCCACATGTGACCCAGTTTTGACGAGGTCTTAAGTTGTGGAAGAATACCAACATCTCGACACTCACTGCTTCCTGCACTTGCCGTGTTTGTGAAGCTCAGTGGTCCCACAAAACTGCAGATGGATTCAACTGCCATCGCCAGGCTGTGTGCTGAGATTTCACCATCGACGTGAACTAGTAAACCTCATCTAAACGAACTTCACACCTCTCATCTCGGGTATGAAAATGATGCCAAATCAAGAAGATAAGTGCTCCTTCATAGCCGTGCGCTCTTTGTTTGGTCTGAGCTCAAGTTCACAGAATGGCTATCGGACAAACCTCGAAATCCCGCTCCCCCCTCCCCCCGGCCCATCTGCGCGACTGCTTTTGCGCCTCGGCCATAAAACTACCTGGCATGCTGGTCAATGTAGCCCGCTGAGCGGCGAAGGGTGAGGTCATAGACCGCCTCACGACCGCACTCGGAAGATTTTGCCCCAGGGAAATCGGGGTAAAGTAACCCCCCCCCATGTAGTCAGGGTACGGGGGGTTCCTGGTGCTGTTTTGTATTGGCAGGCGTCAGCAGCGCCTGTCTTCTGACCTTGCCTCCGGGAGTGCTTCACATTATTGGACATCAAACTGGGCGAAGAGCCGACAAATGCTGCTCGAGAATCCCATTGTTGCAGTGCTTACAAGACAAACTTCGCTAGACAATATTGGATTGCGCTTCGTTCTTGGTCTCGGTGCGAAGGGTCTGTCTGAAATTGACACACGACCCATCAAGCCATTGCCTTCCGTGCCCACGTTCCAACTCGGGCACGACAAGGGAGCCAACAAGAGGGGCTGCTCCCTTGAATTGTTTCGATTGGCTTAAACTCCACGACTTTCACAGCTAAGCAGTATTTGATCAGTGGGTTGAAGGGCTGATCTCCACGACTGTACGCCTTAGCACTGGCAACATGATGTGGCAACACTAAGGCGAGCTCCTCTGTGGGAAGGTTGATCAAGGTTCATCAGTTTCAAAAGTTCAACCTCTAAGAACCAGGCCCCATCCTCCCGGATCTTGGGCTGACCGCACCTCAGGCAAAAGCAGCACTCTCAAAGCCAAACCCAGCCAGCCTTTCCAGGTATCCCGACTAGGGGTTGGATGGGCCCTATTTTCATGCCCGCAACGGAGACACAAAATACGTTTCGAACGAAGGGATGTGCAAGGCTGGCCAGACCTTCAAAGCCTGCATAGCTGCGTAAACTGCTGCGTACCGTGTGACGGTACTGCTGCGCCTGCCGGTACTGCTGCGGTCGCCGCTGCTGTGATCATTATTCTTAAGAGTGTTGTGCCACCTGCCTCACCATTCGCAGAAAGGCTTACATTGCAAAAGCCTGACTAACAGAAACGCAGTACAGGGTGGCTCCCAAAAAGACACTGGGACAAGGGTAGAGATTGGCCCCTGAAATGATGGCAAAGATCCCTTTACCAACTCTACGAGCCAACATGTCTTCTTTTGAGGGCACCCTTTTTAAGGAGAAACCGCAGGGAAGCCACCCCTTTTGTGGGGTAATGAGCGCGCGGCAACGCCTGATGGACGAATTCTTTGTACTTGCGAGTGTTATCGTGTTTGCTGCTTCCAACAAAAAATACTGATTTGTTGGTTAACGCTGCCCAGCAAAACGACAATCGAGGTTCTTTTCTTGCCGGCTGTCCATTCCTGGTGAGCCGGCAGCTGCCGCTTGACAATTGCAACTTTTAGTACAAGAGTGTGCCAGGCACCCTTTGGCAGCTGTAGGGTGAAAATCGCAACTATCAGCGAAAGTGTAGTACCCGAAGTACACCTTGCCGGCTCCCAGCTCGAAGGTCGAGCGAGTGAAAAACGTGATTTGTTTGTTGTTGCTATTGATTTGCTATCGCTTTTCTGCCAGCTGACCAGGCTGCTTCCCAAATTGCAACTTTTAAGCGCGCACTATGACTTTGGCAGCTCCACCTTGAACACCACAGCATTTCAGTGCAAGTGTAGGACACATTTGGCAGCTCCAGATTTGAAGTAGCAACTCTTCAGTACAAGTGTAGTACAATGCAGTACCCAAAGTACACTATATTATCACGGCAATCTGCCAGCGCTATTGTCTTCGTGATCGTATGTTTTTGCATTTTATTCTTTCCTGAATAAAACCACCTGTCACAACAAATTCCCGGTCACAAACTACTCCTCTACGTGAGGCGCATTGCCTCCGTGTCCCATTCAATCTGGGGCTGCAGCCAGTTCTGCTGGGAGCAATGGGGTCGGCAACTGTCCAAACACTGGAAGTTCTCCTCCAGTAGCCTGGAGCGCTCGCTCGGCTGCTAAGAGTGCGGTCAGGGAATGAACTGGACGGGGATCATTGGGGCTTCATCACATTGCTATCACAGAAGCCAGCAACCCCAAGCCGCGCGCGAGCGCTGAGTGAGAAGCGCTTCAGAAACCCTTGGTTTCAAATGGCGCGCGTCCCAAAACCTCAGCGGGTCACCTGATGCTATTTGATGCTTGACAATCCGCGCCGTCAGGATGGTGCGGGCCGTCCAAAGCGTGGAGTCTGCTCTCCCAGTGCGAATTCGCAAACTGGTGCAAGATCACGGGGCCAAAATGGGTGTCTCTTTTGGTTGAGTTGAGAGTAGCAAGACCCTCACACTAGCCCAAAATTCAAGGCTTGTGCACGCAGTAACTGGGCGTTTTGACATGCTTGATGACCCGTGGCATTGCTTCATGATGTTCGGCCTGGCTACCTGCAGAGATGGCTGTGCAGTGAGGGTAAGTGGGGACCCAGCGTGCCTGTTCAACATAATCAACATCTTGGCTCAATGAAGCCGCCTTCATCGCCCATTGCCACCCTCACATTGGGTTCGAGCCCTGGCCGCGGCCAACCTTCATAAGATCTCTCCCCTTTTACTAAAGGCGACTTGACGTGACAGCTCCCGTCACTCCCATTGGCGGGTTTGCGGACTGTCATTTTGGTTCAACACAGCACCCATCTGCATGTCGAGCCACAAACGCCACACAAAATACTGATGTTTTCAAACATCGTACTGTTGAATTCCCAAACTGCGGCAAACATCGGGAATTTCCAGGGACCTTCATCCCATGGGTGAACCTTCATCTCATGGGTGTAAATCGCTTGTGCTACCCCCGAATCGATGCACTCGGCATAATGGCCGAGTCGTTTCAAGCGTCGGTACTTGTTTGGAAAAAATCAACAGCCAAATGCCTCATTACTAGACTTGGCATTACGCAATAATCTAGCATATCCGCCTCCTCGTCCAACAGCTCCAAATTCAATTGGCATACTTTGATTGGCCCTCAACCCGATCTTGCGGGTTGCTGTAATCACTAGTGCCTTCGTGTATGCTAACATATTGGCAATTTGTACCTGTGATTTGATTAGTCATATGATTACTAGACTAAGATATCCAAGGTGTGGTATGTGAGCAAAACATCTTTATGATTCAAACGTCAGGAAAAGACTGGTATGGGAAACTGGGAAAACCTGAGAAACATCTTTTTATGGCACAACCTCTTTATAGTTTGAAATCAGAAGCCTCCTTTTCAGAGTCGTCTCCGTTTGGGGATGCCTTTTTGGTGGGATTGATGTTGACCTGCAGAGTATGATTCCAAAGTCAGGACTTCAACTTCGCCTGCCTCTCATTGGCCACGCGCTCCGCAGAGCAGAACACCAACACGGTGTTCGGCTCCAACTCGCGCTCGAAGCTTTGGCCCTTCGCTAGCACAGGCCGATAGGTGTCTTTTTGTGGAAAGGAAACCCGCTTGTCATTGTTTGATGTTTATCAGATCTATTTGTTTGTATTTATGGCTTGCATATGTTGTTTTTGGGAGGGTGGGTGGGTAAATGTTGGGGTTTTGGTTAAAAGGAACCAGAAGGAGCTGCGGAATCACACAAAGCAAGGTCCCACAGCAGGGCTGGAGCAGACTAGTCAGCGCCTCCTAGGAATTCATCCCTGCAAGCATAGAAAAATCAAGTGAGTGGTCTTGTACTAACTGCCTCTTTCAGTTCAGAGCGAGAGAGAGAGAGAGAGAGAGAGCACAAGGGCTTGTTGAGCCATCTAGAAAGGCTGGACTTGGGCGATACATCTGAAAGCGGCAAACTCACTCAGAAGTAGAGAACATGGTGCTCTATCCCCATCCTCCATCTCCTGGAAGGAATTCGTTGTAAATTCGAAACGTCCTTCCTTTTTGTGACAGAGATACCCGGACCTCAAACCCTCCTTCAAAACGAGGAAATTGCCCCATGCGGGTCACCGGTTCGTTTGAGGGCGAGAGCCGCCTTCTCTCTGAAAGCCAGGGGGCAAGCAGAGGTCGTGGAGCGCAGGTGGAGCCCTCGCAGCTCATCACCGACCTGAAGACTTGGATGACCAGTGGCTGACCCTCTGGTTGATCAGTCCCTCAGATGGGTTCTATATATGTTGTACTCCCCTGCCAATTCACTTGGAACCAAAACGCTCATCCCCCAAGAAGGAGACTCTTGTGAAGGCTTTACGGGCTCCGTGTTGATCTGCAAGGAAGAAAGGCAGGAATACAAACAAATCAAGCATGGTGAAAGGTACACAATATTCTCAAACATGTCTGCAGCTCAGGCCGTTCACCCCTGCATCCCCCCCCCCCAAACAAATCGATTCGCAGGGTGGAAGAGGAGGGAGGGCTGGGGTACAGAACTACACTTCTTCTTTCTGGGAGCCAGCTTTCAAGAGAAAATGAGAGGTTCGTCCAGGCCTCAGCTTTTGCTCTGGAATGGCCCTACTAATTAGTAAGACAAACGTCTGGGCGGACAAGGAATCTGGTTTGGTCTGGGTTTAGAGTGCATTCACCTTGGGGCAAGTTCTTTGCAACATCAAGGGGGCTTCAAAACAGAAGACTATTGGACGAAGACAACTTCACTTCTCCCCCCTCGCCCCGCGAAAGAGCAAACCTGCCACCGTAACAGTCAGCATTCACCGGCATTCCTCGCAAAACAAGAGCAAACAGGACTTATGTTTGCTTCTTCGCCAACGAACATTCGGCCTGCCAAGATTGCCGAGTCATCACGTATCTTGCTCTGCACGGCCCAACCTTGTTGTTGCATGGTTGTAGCCGAAAACTATCCAAACAATCTCAACAGCAACAAGCACGCGCTCTGGGCCGAACGTCATATCTTCAGCCGCTCGAATGACAGTGAGGTGTGTCTATGTTGTCCGTGTGTGCGCATGCGTGGCGGGAACCAGGATTGGTCGTCCCAGTTGACAAACCACAACCAACAGGGCCTGCACACTTGATTGTGTGTCGTGTGTGTGTGTGCCGTGGTGTGGGTCTTTGTGTTTTGCACTTTGTGTTTGCTTTGTGCGTCTTCCCAATGTTTCGGGTTTTAATGTGGCTATGATTGCGAGGAATCTTGCCGGTCGTGCTGATGTTGGCAGACAATGGAGCACAACAAACGGGATTCATATGGTTCAGCTGACGATAGAGGCAGCAACAGCAACATGCCCCAGGAGAGGCATTTGGAACAATGTAAAATGTGAAACCTCAAAGTAAAGCCATAGCTTCCCCCCATTCAACCCGCACCCGAAATTGGAGCTTGGCTCCAGCAGACAACGACAGCGTGCGGCTGTCGCAATATTGGCACATCGGCACAACTCCCATGTTGCTCCTCCCCCCACTGCTAGGACTCGGACAGAACTGTGCTCCGGGTTCCGCGCACCACTATGCCAGCCTCACAGAGTTGGTGGCTTGCCCTTGGCCTGCGCTGCTGGTTTCTTCAAAGGGTGCTTCTCCCACTATCAGAAAGAATGACTGCAGGACAACAATGGCACTTCATCTTTGCATTTGCCGCCTTGTCCCGAATTGATGCGAGGAAGTCGTGCGGGAGCATTTGCAGCGTCTCACCTCTGCCTGCGCAAGAGACCGGTAGCTTTCCGGCATTTAGATTCAACCCACTATTGCGTGCTTGGAGCATGCACATCCAATCGCCGCAATGAAAGGGGAGTACCTGCTGATGGTGCTGAAGCAGTGAGGCGAGCTCCCAACATTCATTTTGACATGTGCGGGTGACGCTCAGCTTTATGCTGATGTCATGCATGATGAGCGCCTTTTACACACTCTAAATTTTTGCATCCCCGACACTTGGAGATCTACGTTCTAAGCTAAGCGCGATGCCCTTAGCTCATCGAAGTCAGAATTGCTTCGATAAAAGAAGCAGGCGAACGCCAAACAAAACCATATCAGTCTGCAAAGAAAAACACGTGTCCAAAGCGTGAATTAATAAGGCCCCCCCTCAAGCAACAGACCTACGTCATGGTGAGCTCGTTTTTACTCACGTGAGCTCGCCATGAAGAGGCAAACTCATGCTTCCTTGCTTCCAGGGGTTGATTTCCCATTCTTTTCAGCCATCGTTCTTTTCAAAAACCAGCCATTTCCCCAGGGTTTTTGGTGGTTTTCTGGAAAGAAGGATCCCTGGAAAGAATGGGGAAGTTACCCCTAGATTGCTGGCCACTGGGCTACTGAATTGCAACCATTTGATCACGGTCAGCGACAAACCTCCATGCCTTTGGCCCTCAAGAATCTCGACTCTGAGAAGGGCTCAAGAGGGGCCCTGCTCAAATCGTTGGATAGCCTTGCTCTGCTTGGTGCTATACAGGTACAAGCCAGGACACACACAGGCGCAGGAAAGCCAATCCAAAGTGTTCCTGGGTTCCCTGGCTCACCAGCACGCCGCCCAGAGACTTCTCAAAGAGGTGCAGCTCCACATGCCCCTGGCAAAAGCGGTGAGAGACACCTGCAGCCACTTGGTTCCTGTTTTGGGGGGGCAAGGGATTGGTCAATTCATCCACCTGTTGCAAAACTGGTAGGGCAGAGAACTATCCCGATCCAAAACTTCCCACTGTCCAAGACATCTGTACCTCGAGTGAAAGAAAAATGCCTGTGCAGTTCACTTCTTGTTTCCTGCAACCTGTCAGGATATTTTGGAGGCATCCTCCAGTGTCAAATGCCAACTCGTGAAGTGAAGCAAACTGTGAGCTGAAGGGACTGGCAGAAAAGCTCCACGCGAGGCTGTCTGCCAGCTTGAATGCAATAGGGTGTCTGAGAGATCCGAACGTCACATGCTTGTCCAGAAAGTTCCAGTGGAAATTAGCATCTGGCGGTCGAACTTCCACTGTGGACATCTGTTGACAATTGACAAGTATGCTTCCTTGCTTGCAACAATTCGAAGAATCCCCCCCCTTGATTTCAGACACAGCCCGCATCACCCCAGACAAGTACCTTGCTTCTTGGCAGTTTGCTCTGATGCTGGTGCTTGTAGCTTGATATGCATCAAAGCTCATTGACATGTTGTGGCTTCAACACGCAAGGAGGGCCGTCACATTGGGCTACCTCATGGATTTCTGAATTTCTCTTTGACCTTGGCAAGCTGATCTCGAGTCACTGTGAAAGCCCAATCTTGTCCCATTGGCCAACCGCCAGCGTGCGAACGGGCCCTTTGCCGCATTGACGACATCGATTTGGATGTCACATGGGCAGTAATTCATGAATTCAAAGCTTGATCGCTGTCAGGAACACACTAGGCTAAGCTGGGCCATTCTATTCGAGTGTAACGGCTTCAAGGATGAGAATGCTCTCAATGGTTTAAACAAACGAATCATCCCGCTTCAAGGAACATGTCATGTCTTCTCTGCAGTCTTTCTGGCTATTCGCTGAAACGGACTACACTACGCATATTGAAACTATTTGAAACCACTTGCTGGAGATCAATGTGGTCACAGGTGTCCACGAACGTCTTCAGCTGGCGGTTTCAAAGCAAGAAACAAAAATGGAGCAGGACTCACCTTCTCCCCCCCCTTCCCCGGCCTTTCGCTCCGGGACATCGGAGCGGTCCTGTCGCCAGTCGCCAAATCTTCAGTGAGGCTGCCAAAAAGTTGCGGCTCCAGGCGGGATCAAAACAAGTGGCCCTTTTGGCATCCCTTTAAACAGACGGTACACGGCGGCACCACTGCCCAAATCTGCCCATGTTTTTGACAACCCCCAATTGTGGGAACGTTCATGGCTTCAGGGGAGTCCATCAGTGACCATTTGATCAACTGGTTGCTGGTCATCTGAACCTTTGCATGGCAAACGTCGACTCTCTCAGTGCTTCGCAAGAGCAAAACTGCTTCCTGGCTGCGGCCCAAAGAACAGAGTTCAGGACAGATCTCTAGCGCCCAAAACCGCGACTTGCATCGAAACCAAGCCGAGCCTCCAAGATGGGCTGCCCCGTGGTCAGAAGCACAACCTCGTCGGGCTTCTGCGATTGCATCATTGCATAACCTGAATAGCGGCATAGCGGAGCACTTGTTGCATCTTGTTGCCATGGGTTGCTTGGCCGAGGCGTCACACTGATCGCAGCCCGAACATGTGTTTATAAGGCCACTGTGTAGCTGAAGATTTGCATGCTAAGGATTGCAGGAATAATTGGCGCTGCGTCACTACAATTGGCCTTACCTTGAGCTTGGAGGAGTCAACTTTTACTTTAGCGAGCACCGTGTCAATGTCGACTCAGCTCTATGCAAAAGCAGGGCGAAACGAAAACGCCCAAATTCAAAGCGACCCGCCAGCGAAATCTGGCCCCATGCTGGCTGCTGCACATGCGGCATGGGCCACGTACTGTCGGGTCGAACAAACAAAAGAAGCATCATCGAGTAAGTGAGTCTCTTCCCCACATGCCCCGCTGATGCAAATGCGGAAAAGTTAGGGCTTGCCTCTATCAATAAATTGCATACCTTCTTTACGCGGGCGAGGAGGGGCTGTACAGGCTTACCGACTCGGCAACATCTACCCTAATTTCGCGGAACGGTCACCCCGAAATTGGCGGTAAATTGTGAGCACACTAAGATAAATTGTGTGTATATCGTGGGAAATATTAGGAGGAAAGTTGGCAAATTGGGACGAATTTGGGAGAAGTGTTTGGAGCAATTTACCCCCCCATTTTGTAGGTTTTTTGTCGGTAATTTACCCCCCAATTTTGTCGGTAATTTACAAATCGTGTGTGGGTAATTTACAAATCGTGTGGGTAATGTACCCCCAATTTTGTGGGTAATTTACCCCCAATTTTGAGGTAATTCACCCCAAGCTTGGGACTCGTTATTAACCCCCAATTCTGGAAATTTGGGGTGAATATAAACGAAGTCCAAAATTCGGGGGTAAATCTTCGTTTACCATTGCGAAACCTGGGATTTACCCCCAATTTGTGGACTTGTTATTTACCCCCAATTTCCGAATAACGAGTCCCAAACTTGGGGTAAATTACCTCAAAATTGGTGGTAAATTACCGACAAAATTGGGGGCAACTAACCCACACAATTGGGGGGTAAATAACCAACAAAATTGTGGTAAATAACCAACAAAAATGTGGGTAAATCAGCGACAAAATTTGGCCACAACATTGGGGGCAAATTACCGACAAATTGGGGGTAAATTGCACCAAAATTGGAGGAACATTACCCACGAAATTGAAATTGGTGGTAAAGAGTTACTGCTAAACGGAGAAGGGCATGATTCAAGCGAGGCGGGTATTCCTTGGCAGTCAACCAGTGTCCCCGCCGATCACGGCCTTTCAGCTCTATCTTTGTCCGTCTCTCAGCAACCGGCTCAACGAGAATTTGGGCTGCCCGAGGTGCGTTTATGAAGAGGAAATGGGCCGGCTTGCTTGAAATCGCGCCAAAGGCGTGTTGAGATATCCTGGAGGGGCGAGTTCTGATTCCCTCTGGGCGAGCGAACCAACTCTTCTTCCCCAGCATCCGGGCATACAAGCAGATCATGGACACCAAGTGTGCTTCCCCGCTTTCACCAAGCTTGGCAGCCTGGACAGCCTCGTTCCCACATTTTCACCAGTGCAGGAACAATGGCTTTGGGGGGAAGGTGGAGCAGGTGAATGTGCTGTCTAGGCCACACAGTTCAGCACCAAAACGCTGGAGGCGCAGCTGGGTCAGAGTTGTCGCAGGGGTGTAAATCCCTTCTCCTGCGCGCCGCAAACTCCAGTCGTTGATCACTGCGAACACTGTGGCCCCTCTCACACCGCAGGGCAATATGTACGATGAGCTGCCAAGCCGGGATGTGACCTGCGTCACATTTGCTCCCAAAGAGTTCCTGGTGAAAAACTCAATGAGACACTTGACATCTTGCACGCCGTACCATTCCCCATACCTCGCAGTTGTCCTCCCCACTTCTCTGAGGGCAGCACCCAGCCCCAACGCAAGCAGGAGGTATGATGCGTTGCGCGTGTTGATGTCTTGGCCTTTCATGTCAACTTCATCAGTGCCGGCTCGGCGCTGCATCTCACGGTCCCTCCATTCCTCAAGTTAGCCCCACCATCGCACTCGTGTTGTTGTTTTTTAGTCAGGAGGATCTCCATCTGGGTGGGTGTGGGCCCTGGTGATTTCGGTCCTCACTTCATCATCAGTTGAGTGCTGCTTGTCCAGCCAATACGCCGCCGTGCGCTCGTCATCACGCGCCTGGGATGTCGTCGTTGCGACATGTGTTCCGCCTCCCTCTCCTCTCTCAGCTCCAACATATGGCTAACTACTGTCAGCAGCTCGCTTGCCAGGGCGCCGGCGTGTTCCAGAATCGACAAGTCCGACGAGTACATGATGTTGGCATCGCACTCTGCGCAGAACTCCGAACAGATTGGCCACTCTTTCTGACGTGTCGTAAGCCTTCTCCCATGGGTCCTCGTGCTCCTTGGCCGTGGATGCATCTCGAAGTGCTGTGGTGATTTCTTCGTACACAGTGCTGTCGAGGCTCACCAACCATTGGAAAAAGGCCTCCTGCCAGCTAGGTACTGTGGCTGGGTGTGTCGGCAGTGCTTTGATACTGCGGATGGCCATGCTTTTTGCCACAGCAGAGGACCGTCCAGCGCCGGTAGGTGTCTTCTCTGGCATACCAGTCTTCTGTGTCAGCCCCCGCGCGATCTGCCCCCGCATCCCCAGGAGCAGGTGGGCCGGCAGGTGGAGGGCCCGGAGCCGGGCCAGGGGGAGATGGCGGTGCTTTTCTCTCCCTTCCTTTTGATGGCTGTGCACCTGGTCCGAATGTAGGTCCGGATTCAGCCATGTGTTCAGACATTGGCCTGGGGTGCTGGCACTTCGGCTTTGCCAGTGAAGGGTTGCCAGTTTGCCACCCTCTCAATGCTCTTAAAAAAACAAGGACAGAGGCAGCAGGAGTGGCAAACTGGGTGAAACTAGGGTGTTGAGCACCCAAGCTGTTGTCTACCCAGAGATCTCACTTCGACAAGTATAGAGTGTCTCCGGGTATTCCAAAGAGCCTTGAGCCAAAATGGCTACGGCTAAAACATCTTTGTCACATTCCCGCTGTCCACGTAGACTTGAAGCTTGACATAGGCAAGAGCACGTCAACCTCTCAAACCAAGGCATGGCCCTTCCCCGCTATGCGCGGCTGGCGCGCGAATGGTCAAGTCCAGTAAGAACGGATCGGTGCCGTTGAGCAGCGTCACATGCAGCACGGTCCTGCAGGGGAAGCTCTTCCACCATTCTAGTGGCAACTTTCAACTTTCCCCTCTTTTCCAGGGATCCTGGCGTGCGGAAACCAGTAAATCCCAACACAGCTGGTTGTTAACAAGAACCATGGTTAAAAAGAATGGATGTAAATATATATATATATATATATCAACAAAAGACCCTGAAGCGCTTCAAACAGATTTGTGCATCCTGTCACCCCTAAGAAACTTGCTGTGCCAAGAAACCATGGCAAGCATCAGCAACATCCAAAGGGTAGTCATGGTAGTCGGCACTCTTCTTTGCAGCCAGGGGTCTGAGCTCGAACTCACCTCTGCAAGTCTTACTGATCATGTCTGCGACCTCTCACAAGCCACTCACCAGGGCTGCTGGATTTAGCCCTAGGGACATCTCCACATCTCCCTTTCCCACCGTTCTTTGAACCTTCTTAGAAGGGGTTCTTAGAAGGGTTCAGGGGGCCCTGCGTCTCTCAGGTTGCAATTCCGCTCGCCTGGTTGGCACCACGGAGGCCCAAAGGCTTGGATGACGCTGCACCAACATCGCCCAGCACTCCTTGCGAGTGAAACGATACGAGCCGTGAGGTGCTGAGAATTTGATTTCATATCGCTGACATCGCCGCGCTCAATGACTCAACCTCACTTCTCCTCAAAAATCAAGCACGTACACCAACAGCGGCACCGCAAGAAGGCTTTTGGTGGCTTCGCAAACGCTTCTAAGATCGCCTACCTCTTAAAAAAGAAGAAGAAGGGACGTCCCGCGTTCAGACTGTGTTCAATTGGAACTGCTTCGCTTGGTAACTGTTTTGCGCGCAGGGTCCTTCGGCTGGCAGGGTTGCATAATTCAAGCGCGAAATTGGTGTGCGAAGGTGGACTGTAAGCTGGAAGAGCAAAGGATGTTCACCAGCCTGCTTTGAACTTGTTCGCACTTGTTTCCACGCCTAACAAACCTTGAGCAAAACCTATTCTAGGCCAGCTTTCAGGAAAAGGAACACTAGACATGCGTGAATTCATGAATTGCGTCTGTGGCATGCGTTCAATACACGCGCATTTGACAACCTGTGCTCTCGAAATAGCTCGCGCAAAAACAGCTAGCTTCGCTTCCACTGCGCACCAAAGGGCGTCCGCAAAATTCCGAGACACCGCCAAATGGGGGTTGACCAAAAGGTCATTCACCTGGGACAAAGATTGTTCCACATGGGAACAATTACACCAAATCTGCGCATGGTCATTTGGATCGGCCCAACGGAATATTGATCAACCCCCCCAAATCCCATCTGCCACCCCCCCCCCCCGGGTATGGTGGACACTTAGGGTCTATTTTGCAACCTCCTTCCTTTTAGGGTATGCTTTTTAAGGGTAGTCTATGGCCCCGATCCGATCCGATCCCTTGGAGCGCTCCGCGGCGCCGGGCTTGGGCTCCGCAGTGGCGCCCTCTATCCCCAAGACCTCCGTGGGCACCGCCTTCAGCGCCAGGTGGGCCGCCAGCACCAGGTCCTCACCAGCCGAGCCGGTGCCACCCTCCCAAAACTGGGAACCTGAACCCCAAAGACACGGCTTCCTTGCAACCGGCTGAGGCAAAAAACCGACTTTCAGGTTCCATGCTTGAATTTTTTTGGGAAAGCATCCAAAGCCTTACACTCACACAAACATCTGCCAGCCAGGGCTCGAAATGCCTTGCGCAGGCATCTTCCAAGTCGTCTACCATGCGCCTAAGCCCAAAATGACAGCTTGCAGGGCACCACCACCTGACAATCTGACACAGTTAAACATTTCGCACATGTGCAACAAACAAAAAGTGCTCTGCGTCGACATGAACTACAGCTCCCAACTAGCGCGTGTCAACATGCTGGATGCAGCGGCAGGCACCCATCCAGGTAGCTTCGGCGGTACAGCGCACCGTAGGATGTGTCTGGGATGGGCCCTGCATGCCTGCCACCAGCACGACTGGGAGCATACGCAGATGGCTGAGAACAGGAAAACAAGAAAACAACGAATGCATCACATGCACATCATTGCAAGATCATATCCAAGGGGACATGCAAACATTGGGTGGCGCATCAAAAAAGGTCACCAGGACCCTCAAGCTGGCGCTTTAAATTGGGGAATCAGCCCAGTATGTTGGGGCAATATCATTCTTGAGGGCAGCTTGAGGGTCCAGGTAGCACAACGAACCCGGTCCCTAGTTATATCCGCCCTACCTTATTGTTCCCCTCAATTCCATTTTCTGGCTAGTCTTCCCCAGAAAAGGGAAAATGGAACCACCAATGGAAGTCCGGGGGTCCCCTCCTCGCGCAATTCCATTTTGAAGGAGGTGGGGATCTGGCTATGTTTCCAACCGAGCGTCGCGCCATATGACAGCGCATGGCCTGCAATGACCACCTGAATGCGGCCACACGGAAGCTCCAAGTTGCGAGAGGGTACACTACTCCCCTCCCACCCCACAAATCACGCACTTCCCCATGCAGCACACAGACACACAAATACCGCGGCGTCAAAAAAAAAAGAACCCCGCGGTTGAGAACCCATCCTTTTCATCCGAGCCGCTCCACTCCACAAGTCCACAGCCTGCAGCATGGTTTCCAGCGTTGCCCCACGGTGACCTGGCACCGGGCCGGTGGCAGCCAAGCTGTTCATACTGTGGATGGACGAAATCCATTTCCCACCACCTAAAAAAGCCTGAAATGGTGATTCCCTTGTAAATACCAACAAACAATGGTTTCAACCATGGTTTCAAAGTGGTGCAGGGTTTTGTCCACCCATAGTATGAACCCCGTCACGGGAACCCTTTCGGTGGTCAAGCACTCCTTGGGTTGAGGACCATGGCATGCAGTCTCGGGGAGATCCCCGGGGAATCTGGGAAGGGGGATTCCGGCAGGCGTGATCTCCTTAAAGACCAAACAGATCCAAATCCAACCGTGATCCTTCAGGCTTATGACTATTCGAATCAGATGAGAGTTGTCACTGCTGTCAAAGGTTTGCTCTGAACTATAACTTCCACTTTTCTGCCTGCCCCAACGACTGCTCATGGCAGCCTGGCCGGCAAAAGGACAAAGACGTAACCGACAATATTACCATCCGAACCGAAAGGGGCCTGCTGAAAATCAACATCCCAGAACACCAGGGAATTTTCCATGGCGCAACTCCTATTGCGTGGCTAAGGGGGAGGACTACACAACATGAGGGAATTGTGCCCCAGCTGTAGTCATGTCCGTTGCCCCCATTTCACCAATCGCCTGCCAGGAAAATGAGCGTCTTTGGCCATTGCTCCAGCAGCAGCAGCTCCAGCAGTGGCAGGCCCCTCTGAAGGCACATCACTCGCAGCCTCCATGGTGGCTGAACGATGCTTCAGGTTCATCTGAGTGATGGTGTCCTTTTTGACTGCCCTTCAAATCAACCCGAAAAGGGGTAACCGGTAACCTCAAAACAACCCATTGCTGTTTGCCACACCCTCCGAATCCCTTGGTGTTTGGTTGGTACCCCACAAACGAATGCATCAACCACAAAAAAGGGGGGCGATTCCGTCTTTCGTGCTCCCATCTTTTGGAGAAGCCAGCTTTTTTGGGCTCTTGGCCATTTTCCGAAAAGAAGGATCCCTGAAGCAAATGGGGGATGTGCAACTAGAACAACAAGGACCTGCAAAGACGGTGAAGTACTGTCCACTTAGGACTTTCGGTGTGCTATCTACGAAACAGGTTGACACAAGGGCTTTCAGCGGGGTTGCCGCACTTTCTAAGTGCGCAGCGGCTGCAGTATCTGTTAAACGTTGCATGCGGCTGGGGGGAGTGCACAATCGGAGATGACTTTCTGGATTGCCGAGCTCACAGCGTTGCACAGCGACTCCCTACAATGCTTTTTTCACGCGCTTAGTGGAGCCAGCAACAACAAAAAAAGGAAACATCAGCACCGGACTAGCTGGCACTCAGTGTCGCAAAGCTGGACAGCCTTATCTTCCTGCTGTCTTGGTCCCGGCTCCAGCTGTGCCTGAATCTGGAACCCGCAGCTGCCGGCAGGCAGCGCGTCATCTTTCTCCTCACCTGCCAGCTCAAACAAATGCATGAGAACGCATTGGCACTGGCACAGGCTTGTGACCACTCCCAGATTGCTATAGTAAAATCCTGCTTACAACGAAGTGGGACTCTGCGCTTGGGATGTTGCAAAGCCGATTGGGATGTTGCAAAGTCATGTCATCGCCATCCATTCATTCGAGAATTTCGGTATGTAAGGGAGTGTGGGCAACCGGGAGCCAATGTCGTCACAGGGAAAGCAATGTAGGCATCATGGCATGTGCTCACGGCGCACTTCGTTGGAAGAATGTCACGTATGAACATTTGCAGCTCACCAAATTGTCGAAATATATACATTAATCAGCCTTACCAGAACGGAACTCTTCAAGGGACAACTCAAATGGTGACACAGGGTCAAACTAAAAACACACTCTATCACAAGCCATACGGTTGCCAGGGGTACATCACGGTGCCATGTAAATGCATATCTACTGTCAGGCTGGAAAATGCAAGTTGGGCTGTTATGAGAAGCGGCGGGTCCATTGATCCCGTGTCCAATCATTGCACACAAACTCACAGCCACATTCAAACTGAACATTCAGGATGAAACATCAAGAGCCCCCATCCCTTATTTGGATGGGTTGTTCAACATGGAGGGGATCCCAATCCTACTCCGTGGTGGGATACCACTGCAAGGAAAACCACTCCTATCTGGCATAAGGCTTGAGGGTTGAAGGCTTTATGAACCCCATGCTCATGGAATGCCTTGGTGTGAACGCCCTTTCAGTCATACTCAAAGCCTGCATTCAAGAGATCTACCCGACACCACGTGAACAATCCAGAGAGCACCCGCTTCTATTTCTGGGACTGTCTCTAAATCCCGTGTAAATGGTGTCCGGCCCCGACAAGGGACTGGTCCCTTATGGACTGCAATATCATACACCAAAAAAGGCCCAAATACATGTGCAGACAAAATACACCATATTTATAAGGGGAGTACTAAGGACGCCCAAACGCACGTCTTCCCTTAGAACGACTCCGCCTTCACGGGCACGTAGCTGCGCCACGCCCCGCGCAGCCGAGAAGCCCTGGCCAGCCGCCATAAGCCCCAGGGCAGCAGGGCCACCTTAGGCACATGCCTCAAAATAGGAACCAATCCCCAACAATGGTTTCATCTAAAAAGGTCCTGAAAAAGTCCATTTGGAGAATTGGAGAAACCCCTCATTTGTCTGCCTCTTTGACCTGCCATGTCCACGAGATATTGGGTGGTGAGACACCAAATGTCGCCGGCGCTGGCACAAGTGTTATCTGGACCGTCGCAGCTATTGGCAGTGCAACCGTAGTATAACGAAACAGGTACCTGACCCTGTTTCCACCCCCCAACCTCCCCAGCGAACGCGTGCCAGATTTGATTACCTGAGCCTCTTGTTCAAGGCATGAATATCATCATAAGCACGCCTGCTCAGCACTTTGATCACAAGCAGACCTGCTCAAACGCACCCGCTCAGCACTGCATACACGCCTGCCAAGTGATAAGCGCACCCACTCAAGCGCTCAGCCCCGCGCATGCCTGTCAAATTAAATGATAAGCGCGTCGGCTCAAGAGCACATGGCCCTTCCAATACGCCCACCCCCTCGAGCTCGGCGCTTGCCGACTGCTGCACTGGCTTCTTGACTGATCAGTCCTGCACAGTATTCTGCCACACGGAATCTGACTTGGACCGCGCCGTATTTCTTCATGCTTTCGAAGCGATTGCACTCAGCTTCGAGTCTTGCAGGCTGGCTTGTCACGCGCTTGAACCGTTCGGTACTCAAAGCGCAATCCGGCAATGCTCAGATGATGCGTTGAACAACATTTGCCTCAAAGACTTGGGCATCAAACTAGCCCAAAAGCGCACAGGTCGACGATAAAGTGTCAGCGTGGAAGATCGGCTCACCGGCGCTCAGATGCTCCTGGATAGATGAATTCAAGACTCAGCATCTTCAACGCTGTTGGCAATCAGAGGGACTGTGGACGTCGTCTACCCACACTGTTCAAAATAGCCTAACTGCCTAACAAGAACAAAACCCAAGCCGCGCAACGAATTGAGCTTGGCGGGTGGATGGGCCAACGCTGTGAGCGGCCGCATTTGCGCCGGACATTGCCCCGTTAATTGCAGTGACCCAAATCTGGTTCTCGCGTTAGAATGCACTTCCGACATCAACCACCGTGTACTATCTTGGCGAATGGAATGCAACCCCAAACCAAGCCTGGCGCCCTGCAACCCCCCTGGTGCCCCGGCCACCCGTCGATGCGTGGCCACGGACTGTGCCAGCCAAGCTCGCACCACCGTGTCCTGCGCAAAACGGCGACGGCCATCTTTACGGAAGTACCCAAGTAGAAAGTTCTCCGACCTCTCTTGCAATGGCCTGTCCGCTTTCATTGTTGGAACAAGGAGTCACAATTTGGTTGGCATCCTCCACTCCCCAACCACACGACGCAATGCGATGAGCCTGAACTAGAAAGGAACGATATTCACACCCAGCTTGCGCAGTACACAGTCCCTTCAACGCATGGGCAGCAAAGGGGACCACAGGGCAAGATCTCGCGGCCTGGTATTGTCAGATGGCATACGGGCATTGTATTGCCCTCAGACCCAGCCATGACATTTTGCGGCTTGGGTCACATATGCTTATCAATCAGGTCTCTTGGCCCAACAGGGTGGGATTCAGCTGCCAATGATTGACCTCTACACACTACGAATCTCAGGTAAGGCACACAAGTGGAACTTGGATTGCGCACTATATAAAGGCCAATCATCCCAACGGACAGTCTGGGGAGCCTCTGAATCCTGGCGCGACGTAAACAATTTGGGCGTTGTTGTGAAGCCCCATCCCAAAAGAGCTTATCTCAACGGTACGTCTCTTAAACGATTCGTGGCTCCAAGTCGATCCTCATATCTTTCTCAATGAGCACGCAGACTCGGATACGTTGACATTTTGCATGGCTGACAGTATGCATCCCTGCATCTCTTGTACGTACCCAGCATGACATGCGAATCACCACAAAGCAACACATCTGCCAATGCTTGCTGGCAGCCGGGCTATAAGGTTATCTACAAATCTACAAATCACGCTGCATCCAGCGTAGTCACTTGCAACTCTTCACTGTAGATCGATGTTGGCAAGCCGATCATAAAATTTGGCCACATCCTAAACGTGCCATGATTTGCTTGCACCACCAGCTTAATGTTACGCCACTAGAGGCGCAGGGAGGTGTTGCGTACGCACAGGTCGATCATTGTGGCGCAGGTCTTACTCAACATCATGCACTGGTGCACCTTAAGCAACTCAGCGAGATCTTTCACACACTTGTACTGTGTGGGATGTGCCCATGTGGGACACGTTTCTCACAGTGATGGTCAGGCATTCAGAGGTATTTAGAGTTGGTAAAATGAGTCACAAGGCTTCCCAGACCGCAAAGACTATGTTCCATCCACAGTACCTCCGCCGGGTTGACAGCTGCAGAGTCGTTTAGGCCCTGAAAACAGTTGCCCACCCTCGCCGATTCATGGATCCGCAGCGCCTGTTGGCTGTGCTGTCGCAGCCTTGCCAGGTGGTGCCCTTGGGATTCGCTGGTGCGCCAGGAGCCGCTGCTGTCCCGCCACAAGAGGCCTGGCGGCTCGAAGGGTGGGCGCTCGAAATTGTCGACCCCGGATGAACGATGCGGGATTCGTAGCGGTGGGCCTGCGATTTTTTGCTTGGATGGGGCTGGGGACACTATGAATCAACCAGGGTTCACAATTTCTGGGTCAACATTAGGCACTACTTGGCATGCTGCATTTGAATTGCGACAGGGTGGAAGCTCCAGTCACTCCAGGAACCACCAGTCAGATTCCGTGTTTGTGGGTTGGAGGGTAACTGGAACATTAGTTCCGGCGGCAGACGTCAACGCGAACTTTAATCAACACAACATGTGTGGCATGTGGCAGTACGCGGCACAGGAATCTACTGGCAAGGTAGTTCAGTCTTGGCAATCTTTGCGGGTTCCTATATTTTATCCATGCACCCAACCAGTACCTGCAAAACGAGCTCGAGTTTCCTTCTGGGCTGCAAACGGATGGCTTTTGATGGCCAAGTCGCGGTGCCTCTGTGGTGAGCATAAAAGTCCTCGCTCACCTTGGGCATAAAAATCGCGCCTGCCAGGACAAAATGAGGTTCTGAGAGGCCATGGATGGCCATGGGCAACATGGGGTGTTCTTAACCCCTGGCTGGGAAAGTTGAGTGGCCTCCCCGTTCCCCAACCGACAGCAAACTACCAATCAGATTGCCAGTGACTCTCTTTCAGCTAAAGGGCAACACGACATTGCAATGCGTGACTGGATTCTTCCACATGACTCACAGTGAGGCCTGGCTTTTGCGCTTTGCAATTTCAATGTCAACAGCGCAATCAATCTGCCTAAGCAAAGGGAAACTGCCCGTCTCCGCTGCAAATTAGACATCTCATTTGCGAGCTTGCTCCTGCATGGAGCCAAGGATTTCAAACAAACACCTGCAGTACAAGATGTGGCATGTGGTCGGAATCCGCTGGCCGCTGAATCAGCCACCTTGAATGCGGTCGGTGTCGTAGGCAGCATGCCTGCCACGCACATGCCAGGATCCTTTGATGAATGGAAAAGCGGCGATCCACGTTGCCATAATCGATTCTCACGATTCGTTCAAAACGAGCCTTGCTGCTAGTAGCGGCAATGCACAAATTCAGAAGCAGTCTTATAATAATGGCAACCAGTGACATGTCATTCGCCTACATCTGTCTTGCAGGCCAAAAGTGATCCGTCTTTGTCTCAGGCACAATGCACAACTAAACGTTCAGCAAATCGGGCATTTCTGCTAGACGCCGTGCGGGCATGCGCTGCACTGGAAACTCACTGGAGGCAGTCTCGCTTCAGCTTCCCATGACAAGGCTTGCAGTGATGCATAGTGCAGCCCATGTGAGCACGCGCAGTAGCGCACGCATTTTCCCCAACAGCTGAAAGCTTTGGGGTCTCAGCCCAGATAAGCTCCGGGGTGGTCCGGGGCGGCCCTGAGGTGAGGTTCCACGAGGGTTCCACCAAGGTTCCACGAGGGTTCCACGAGGGCTGCGGGGTGGTGCGAACACTAAAAAGAGCACCGCATGCTGTTGGGGATATGACCTGAGCTTATTTTTCAGTTTGCCGTGTGGACACCCGTTGCATTTGCAGCGTTTCCGGACATTGCCAGGAGGGCAGGGATTGAGCGCTTAAGATCATTGCGAGAAATGCCGTGAGGACAGCGCTTGCTATGGGGAGACTTGCTACACAGGGTACATTGCCTCTTGACCTTGCCGGACCTTGCCATGACGGCAGCCTTTGCAAATCCGACATTTCTGCACTCGGTGGGCCCGCATGATCCAGCTAGTCGAGTTGCTCCAGCAAGAACTCTTGAACTATGGTTGCAGTAATTGCACCTAGATCCTTCAGCCTAAGGTTCAGAACTTACCTTGATTCATCAGCCTGAAACATGTCTTGGGATCACTTCCTCATTCTTTCCATGCATCCTTCTTTCCGAACACCAAACCACGAAGGGAAACCGCTAACTTCAACAAGAAAAACAACTGGTTTAAAAACCAGGAACCACCCCCTAGACCATTGCCACTATATCTTCAGCACCTGCAATCAATCCCAAAGCCGAGTCCCTGCACTGACGTCGCATCCGCGCCTCCGAAAGACCACCCCATCCTCGGCGCGGCACAGTTTCCGGCTCCGGACCTTCGTACAGCGCAGCAGTCGCCGCACCTGGGACGAGTCGCGGCAAGTGCTATCCTCCCACATGGTTTGGTGCACAAAGGCACAGTAAATGGAAAGTCGTCTTGGGATGTTTGTTGGCAGGACGGTATTGCATGCCTTGGTGAAACTTAGCTTGATGCTGGTGAAATGACTCCTGCATGCATGGTGCACAATGCTTGGTGTTTGATTGCTAGCTGCACAATGCGTTCGGCTGCCAACGGCACTTCAACAAATTGACCTGGGCATCAGACACGCTTCCTCCCAGCAAACTTCACCTGAACTTTATATACCTCCAAGATCGCAAATCAAATGATCCAGTTGACCGCGGCACAGCTCTTCATCTCGTCTCATCAGGCAACTGAGTAGTGAACAAAAACAACTCTTTGTGGTACCTTCTACTTCACAGCTGAATGACCATCGAGGGAGATCCGCCATGCTTAGCCGACCTTGCCGCGTCAATAAAACCTGCAAAGGCTGGCTCTGACACACCCTGGCAAGAATACGAGCGGAGTGGCACTCTGCCGGCACTCTGCCGGCACTCTGCTGGCACTCTGCTGGCACTCTTAAACTCCATTCTTGCTCCGTTGCTGTTCAAACCCCTGCTCATGGCCTGTTATGGTTGAGGGGAGGGATACCAGTGAAGCGGAGGGCTCCGAGCCTGTTCAACCCTACCCTTCCCTTTCACAGGCGGAGTTCCGAGGCTCCTGCCAGGGAACGAAGGCCCTTCCTGGGCACAGCGCTGAGATGGATGATGGCAGTAGCTGGATCCTGGCCGAAGCTGCCGGGTCACTCCAGCCATGTCACTGGATGGGCTCTCTAAGACCAAACTCACTACCCCCAAAACACTACCCCCAAAAGCCCACATTTTGTGCTCCAGCGGACCCTTCAAACTGCTTGATGTTTGAAATTATTTGCCTGCAGCTGCCTGGCCCCTAGAATGGTGAGTCCCTACCAGCACAGTTCTTCAGAATGGCTTAGCCTGGTGCCCGTCTACCTCGTGGCTAAAAGTGGTGAACTTTTGTGGTCGATTGTCCCGGTATTCGAAAAGCAATTTTGGGGTTGTTGCCACCCACACCGACTCCGGAACTCCCGCACTATCCGCGCGCTACCGCCCCCAACTACTCCCAAACTGGGGGTAGTGGTGTGATTCATCTTTTTCACGCGCATACCAGGTGACGTGTGACTACCCCCAAATCGCCCAGTCAAATCCACTACCCCCAAAACCGGGTATGTGGCGGTCCCTCCAACGCGACATGATCAAAGCAGCAAACCAAACTGGCTGCCAAGAAAGCAAAGCTTTGATGTTCACCTTAAACAAAGATACCGGCGCAAACCAAGCGTTGATGTTCACAAGTTTCAACGTCAAACTGATAGAAGCGAACCCGGATGAAACACATGCCGTAGCTCCAGAATTACCTGGTTTCTGCAGCAGCCAAATATGCACAAATTGAGGCGCCCTCGTATAACCCTTATACAACCCTTTCCTAAGCTTTATATACCCTGTATATATCCATTGGCTTCTGGGGGTAGTGGTTTGGGGGTAGTCAATGTAGTCTTAGAGGCTCGCATCGGAATCTGTGCCTAGAAGCATGCCAAACTTGCACAACTATAGACAACAGTCGTGCAATCCGTTGTGGAATGATTTTTCAACCGAGTCCCTTGACGACGGCCCTTTTCCGCTTTTGTTGGTCTTGTTTCAGCTTCATCAAAATGCCTTTCAAACATTACATGCATCACAGCGAGATCTACATAGATGCATACCTGTGGTTGGCCCCGTCAAGATGCCCTTTCCACAGTGGATCACAGTGGACACAGACTTATTGTGACTCTCAGCATTCTAGATGGCTGGCTAGCGCACGCACCGAACAGGCCCTTGTCTGGCGGTAGAGGTGTTGCTTTTTATTTTCCTATGGCTGGCTTTGCCCCAGCGCTGGTTTTTGTTTGGGCTGGCAACATCCCCAGCATCACCTGGACCAGGGGGCAACCAACCAACCAGCCAGCCAACCAACCAACCAGCCAGCCGGCCGGCCAGCCAGCCAGGGATCCAGACCTAAGAAAAACCCGCCCGAGGCAAAACAACACCTCATCCTTGTCTGGACAACAAAGCAAATCTAGACAACCTCAAATCAAATCGAGCCAACAAGCAAACCACATCAACACCAAAGATATGAAAGGCCATGCAAGCGCGAGGCTCAAAAAGCCGAAAGCACCCCAGGTCCCCAGGTTGGGCAATCAACACAAGCGGGGACTGGGTAAGAGTGGGGATGGCGCAGGCTCCTGTGCCTGGCCTCCTAAGTTGCTCTCCCAAGGTTTGCCTGCTCCCAAAACCTGCCCCCCTTGCCTTTCGCAGTCCTTGTATGCCCACCCCCAAACCCCCCT